GGCGGCCGCCGCCCGCGAGGCAGGAAGCCCGGGCCGCACGCGTCACGGGAAGGGACCCCCTTACCTGGGTGGGCCTGCGACCTGGCGTGGGCTCGATGCACCTGCACACAAAACACCACAGGGTCAGACGCGCGCGGCCTCCCGGCAGAACCCCGCCCGGCCCGGCGGCCGCCCCGCCCCGTGGGGACGTTACCTGAAAACCGCAAAAAAGCAGCAGCAGCCAGGAGCGCCAGCGGCGGAGAGGCAGCGGCTCCCTCATGGTGGCCGAGGGCGAGGGCCGGGATGAGCCTTGGGCACCTCCTGGGGGTCGCCGCACGGTGCCCTGTTAACTTTCACTTCCTTGGGAGACGCACATGCTCACAGGTCCAGAAAGGAGAAAAGCTGTTTTTCTGAAGTTTGCGGGAGGCGGGCGTTCGGAGAGTCAGTGCGGGCTCCTTCCTCTCCAGACTCACGGGTCCTCAGTGATCAATAAACGCATCGCGGTGACAGCCAGCCCAGCGTGTGGGGGATGTGGGGAGAAGCAGCCCCAGGGCGACAAGGCCGGGTGGGGGGAGCCCGGCGGCCGCGGCCAGCTGTCCCTGCTTCTCCTTAGCCGAGGGCCGTCACTGGCCTCCACCCCAGCTCCACTGGGACGGCTCCTTTTCCCGGCAGTTGGCGGAGAAGAGATCTTCCAAGGAACTTTGTCCCCGAGCCCCGGCCTGCTCCCCGGGCGGGCGGGCGGGTGCCCGGCCGAGTCCTTCTGGCCTGACTGAGGCTCACGCCTCGGTCGCTCCCTGGGCGGAGAGAGTGATGAGCCAGGCTCTCTCCCTCCTCCGCTCTCTCCGCGAAAGTCTCTGTTCTGTTCTGTCCTCTATTTATATCCCGTATCCCATGGCCGCGACGTTCCTGGGTCCTAATGCAGTCTGTTTGAACAGTGGGGGATATCTTCAGGATCCTGGGCTCAGAAGCAGAGCAAACGGACGTGGGGGTGCCGGCTGGTCGGCACCCCCCAAGTCAGTGCAAACACTACAGACTATAAACTCGGTGACAGCTGAGCCCTGCTTGCCGGAGAAAGATAGAGAAGGTGCTGTGTGGACGGAGGGAGGAGGAGGAGGGAGGGGACCCCACCCAGGGCTCCCGTAAGTGCTGCCCACACCCTCCTCTTTAACCCTTTCAGGGTGGGCGGCAGCGGCGAAACTGTTTACGAGGTACACTGTGGAATGGCACCGACCCACGGTCTCCCCGCGGCACCCAGGACAGTCCCTTGAGGCGACAACAGTCAGATCCTTAGCCAGCCTGCGCCTCAGTGTACCCAAGACCAAAAGCTTATGCGATGCATTCCAAATACAAGCACACGCACGCACACACGGACACACGCACGCACGCACGGACGCACGCACGCGCACACGGACACACGCACGCACACACGGACACACGCACGCACACACGCACGCACACACGCACACACACACAGACACACGCACGCACACACGCACACACGCACGCACACACACGCACACACGCACACACGCACACATCGTTATAGTCACGGCTGCAATTTGCTCTGTGATTTAAGCAAATGCCCATCTCTGAACCGCCTCCCACACTGACTGGCTGTGCGCTCTTAGGCGAGTTACCGCGTCTCTGTTCCAAAATGTGTCTGTAGAACGAAGTCCCTCAGCCACAGGGTCGCAGTGGCAGGTGGGGTGATACAAGGCCCCTCAGGGAAAAACACAGCACCCCATCCACGCTAGCTGCATCCCAGCAAAGCACAGTGTTGGTGTTGGCACTGGCGCTGGTTATAAAGCAGAAAATAACACCCAGTAAATGTTAGCTGATGCGATCTCCTTGTCCTGACTTTAAATAAAAATGGAATCAAGTCCCGAATCCAAGGTTCCTTCTTAAAGAGGATTAAAAAATGACCTCTCGGCTCCTCGGCTCCTCCGGAGAGAGGAAAAAAGGATGTGGCAAGGCGAGGTCTCCTTTTAATGCGGCCGCAGCCTGGGACCCATCAGGACTGATGACCCAAACCTCCCGCCCGGCTACAGTTCTGTGGACTTTCATCTGCACCCCTTGAAAACCTGTGAACTCCAAGTGCCTGACACTGCTTGTTCCGCCCTTTATCGGGCTGCCTGGGGTGCTCTGCCTCAGGGAAAACTAGTTTACAGGCTTTATCTTTGCCTTCGGTCGGTTTGCAGCCAGGTCCTGCTGCCTGGTTAGGGAGAAAGTGAGCGGTTGGCGGCAGCGGACGGTGACTTTTCCCCACCCGGTCTTAAGAAATTAAACAGAAGGTTAAATGCACCAACTGCTCCCATTTCCAAGACTGGACAAAGCTGACGCTCCATTGTTTAATCATAAAAATTATTGTCGGATACTGAGGGGCACCCCAGCGCAACAGCAGCAGGAAAACCTGGGTATCAGCAAGCTGAGCAGAGGCCCCCCTGGCATCCGCGCCCACCAAGGACGAACACTGCAGAGCCCTGCCAAACCGCATATGCTTCGCACCCCTCCGGGGTCCTATGCGGAGATGAAATGTGCCCACCTTCACCTCAAGCGGCCTTTCCTCAAAGCACGGAGATTTTGAGGATGGCGTCAGAGAAGCGTGCACCCCTTCGCGAGCAACGCATCCTTCGGTCGGTCCCAAATACCATCCAGACGCCAGGGGCGCTCCCCCTCCCCAAAGCCCTGCTCGGCCTCTTCTCTCTGTGTCGCTTTTCACTGTCCAACGCCCTTTATGTCTTAAACACTTGCTTCTTTTATTGTCAGTCCCCCCGCACCCGAGGAAGGGCCTCATGCGAGCCCAGCCTGGCCACCTGACCGCAGGACCCCACAGAGGCTTCGGAGGAACCGACCACCTTTGATCTGCGGCTCCGACCCGACCTTTCTTCTGGCTGGAACAGGGGAGTGACAAGTAGGCTCATATCTAAAGCAGCCGTCCTGCCCTCATGGGAACACGACAAGCTTTTCCCCCTCCTCCGAGGACAGAGCGCGGGAGAGGGCAGACGCCTTCACCATGCCCTGCATCATCGCCCCTCTCCTGAGCCCTGGACATTCATAGGGGGCGCACAGAGCCTGAATCCAAGGACAGATGCCCCGAAGGACAGACAGACCCGGGCTGGCCCAAGAGGGGAGGAAGGTGGGCCGACGAGGGTGAGAAGTCGGGGGAAGAGCTGTGACGGGCTTGGGAAGGCCGGCGTGGGGACCCTGGCACTGAGGATGAGCGGGAGCGCGCGTCCCCGGGACCCCAGCACTTACTCAGGGGAAGGGCAGAGGCAGGTATGGCCCTCAGCGGCCTCTCAGCGGGCACAGGTGGAGAAGGGCGTGGCCTCCACTGTGCAGAGGCATGCGGCCTCTAGAACTTTCTCCCCGCAGGACAAAGTCCTAACTCACCCGGAGAAGGACCGCTGCGGCCCCCACACACACCCCGGCGCAGGGCAGGAACCGTGTGCCAGAGGAAGGAAGAGGACACAACCTCTGTCCCCAGGGAGGGGCAGAGCCACGGAGAAAGCCCGCCCGGGACACCGGGCCACAGGCCACCTAGGCCCGAGGTCGGCCAGGAAAACAGACTCGCCACCGTCCCCGGCATCCAGGCCAGCGAGAGTAGGCATTCCGGTAACGGGAGAGGCCAGCACGCTGGGACACTCTGGCCCAGAACTGAACGTGGGGCAGGATGAGAAACGCCCCGCGCCGAAGCAAAGCCCACCCAGAGTGCGGGGCGGACAGAACGCACCCCAGCTGCTCCCTGAGACGACTTAACACACAGTCACACATGCGGGCATGCACACACACATTCGCACGTGCGCATACACGCAGGTGTGCACGCACACGCACACACACGCTGGTGGCCCAGCAGAGAAGAGCCGTGCCCGCGGCTCAGCATAACGGTGACGCGCAGCGTTCCTTCTGAAATTACGACCGAGAAAGCAAGAAAAACCCGCCCACGGTCAGGAGACGAAGCAACCAAAACCGTAAGTTGGAAGACACTTGGTGCTCGGGGGACGATGACAACACTCACGGGAAATGGAACGTCTGCGAGAGGCGGCGTCGCTTGAAGAGGGACCTATTACGAAAGACGCCGTCGCCATAAACGAGGCGGGGGGAGGGGCGGGGGGCAGGTCCGGGTCCCTCTGGGAGCCTGACCCTGAGAGCAGACCCAGCAGAGCAGAGAAGGGGCTGCAGATCCCCCGGGCTGGGGCGCCAGGACGGCAGGAAGAAGCGGTGTCGCGATGTCAAGTCATCTGACACGTGTGGGATTGGAATTCCAGAGACAGAAGTGAGAAAACGAGGCGGAAAGAATGTGCGAAGAGATAACAGCCAGGAATGTTCAAGACAGAGAATAAGCTCAACCCCAGGCCCAGAAGGCTCAGGCGGCCCCGAGCGAGGTGGATCCCAAACACAGCACACGCACACGCACGCACACAGACCACGCGCACCACGCGCACACACTCACACACGCACACGCACGCACACACACGCCTGGACCAATGACCACCAAACTGCTAAAAACCAGACAGAGAAATCACCAGGCAGCAGGAGAAAATTCAACACACAGAGCAGCAAAGACGAGCATCACAGAGATCGGGAGCAGACGAGCCGGAGGACAGCCCGGCGACGGACCCGGCGACGGACACACTCAGCGCGCGGGGGCAGCGGGTGCCTGGCACCCCAGGACTCCATGGCCGGTGCACTCTCTCACAGACGGAGGGCTGGCCCGCAGCGGAGGGGGAGGCACTGCCCGCGGGGTGATGACGGTGTTCGGTAGTGATGGCTTAAAAATCACTGCACTTTACACTTCTCAAAAGTGAATTTTATGGCATGTGAACTCTCTCGCAATAAAAATTGAGAGACAAACACTATTTCAGACAAACGCTCGCGGGGAGAGTCCGCAACCAGCGGACCAGCACCGCCCGCGACAGAACCGTAAGGCACGAGAGAAACGAGTCCACACGAAGAAACGAAGAAATCCGCAAACGGCTCCGACCGAGGTAAATAGGAAAGATATTTTCTCTCATTTGTACTCGCTGTCAAAAATAACACCATCTCATCAGCGGGGGAGATGGTGCTGTGGGTTGCTAGCATATGTGTGTAAAAGCGAAGTGTACGAAAAATGTCACGAAGCTGGCAGGGAGGGAGGACGAGGGATGCGCCATCGGGCGTGTCTATGCCCGAAGTGGTATCGTGCGATTGGAAGGCAGTTCGTGATTAATGAAAGAGACATCCCTTCTGATAACCGCCAGGGGAAAAACGTGCGGTAAACCTCAGGACGACCCGCGGGGAAAA